CTGAAAGCTGAAGCTTAAATCATAAACCCAAGCATATTAGAACCTTATACTAAAACCCTTCGGGTACGTAAATCATATATGATTTTAGATAATCTAATAATCGAGAGATATACCCGCTAAAAGATAAAATTTCCCTTTAAGGGTAAAGATGCATTTCTATGCACATAATATATGCTGTTGGAATTTTAATTCTACTACTGATATGACTAAAGTTTTACATCAAACATAATGTATTAATATCGAAATACTGATAGTAAAGTCAAAACGATTGACTTATAGTATGAACAAGAAGAAACTGAAATGTTAGACCTTACTTCGAGAATTTGATATTCCTTGCATTAGTGTAAGTGAAAATTACCGGATTAAAAAAATGTATTTGTCTCATTAATATATTTTAGACACACAACATATATAATTTCAATTCAACTTGTTAGAAAAACTAAAGTTCTTGTTTAATTTAAACCGATCCGCTTTATTTTTATGGGTTACTCGCACAGAAAAGCACCTAAAAGCGCTTAAATTGACAAAACATTTCCTCGGAAATCCATCAATTTTGTCCAAAAAAACAATTGAAATCGGACTCGCCAGCCGCCATTTCAAATTTTTTAAGCGCCAGAGCACAGAAAAGCACCTAAAAGCGCTTAAATCGACAGACTTCGAAAATTTCCTCGGAAATCTATCAATTTTGTTCAAAAAAACAATTGAAATCGGACTCGCCAGCATCCATTTCAATCTATTTCGAGCGCAAAAAGACGCCAGAGCAGTATCCCCCACGAGGATACCCGGCAACTATTGCTTCAGATACTGGTTTAACATAGAGCCTTATGGAACCATACACACAGGGATACTTTTCACAATCAGTTTCTAGGCAACTAAATTTCGATCAGCCGTGAGTTCCAGTCGCTCTGGAAATTTTACGACTTCCGGGGCCTATTTTCTATGGGCCTTTATGGACTTGCTAATTATGAGAACCCGGGTACTACTTTGCTGTCTTGCTACAAGTCTGCGATGAGTATCCCGCAATGTAAATGTTATCGGAGATTTCGGTCTGCCACCAATGAGTGGGCAACTGTATCCTCGTGTAAAAGAGGTCTTAATTATCGTCAGTGTGGGGGGGGCAAGAGACAGGAGCAGAGCGGGAGGGGAGCGCCCCCCTCGCGCAGTGAGCATATACTTTTTATTATTTAACATGCAATTTAATACGGTTTCCTTTGTTTGTTTTAAATACTATTTATTATTGTTTCTATGGGTGTTTGTTGTTTTAGACAACAATCAAAATATTCCTTTTTTACTGCCCCCCCCCCCCTACTCAAGAAACTCCTAGATTCGTCACTGGGGTAAATCAATGTGAAATGCGTTATAATAAGTTTGTTTCTTCTTAACAAAATTTAAGCTACTTCATTACGCAAGTGTTTTTCTGCTTTGCTTTTGAAATATTTATCTTTTCTCATCTAAACATACCTATTTGTACGAGTAATTTCTCAAAAACATCGATAATTACATTTTGCTGCGTTTTACTTTCATTTTTATTTTTTATAATAGTTAAGGTTGTATTTCAATAGAATAACAAATCACAGGTCAGGCTTGGACGTAATTAATTGCCTCTATCAAAATAATACGTTGTATTCTAAGTTATAATATACCTGATTACAAAAATGTTACAGATAATTTAAATACATAGTTAAAAAAGGTACTTGCATTATATAAAATGACAGAAAGTAAATACAAGTGTAATCCTTGTTTTAATTTTATTTTCATAATTTTTACCGTGCAAGTGCACACTATTTATGGTAAATATGTATTTCTTGATAATTAACGTCTTAATTTCTGAAAGCAAAAATAGTAGTTTTAGCCACGATCGTTTGTAAATGAGATCTATTGGTTAGTTTGGTTTTGGTTTTAATAGTTTAAACATAATGATTACTAATACTGAAAAATAAACGTTAAACTATAGTACTTTATATGTCTTTATTTAAAACTGCACAACATAAATGAGACAAATTTTCCTTACGTTATCCGGAATCGAATGCAGAAGAGCCGTCGGGTTCTACATGGTTGTGGACCCGTTGAGCCGAGCTTTACTGCGCACGCTCTACCTGACATCGAATGTTTACGTCTGTTACGTTAGGTTATTAGGTTAAGTAAATAAGAGATTTCTTCATTGAATTAAAAATTAATTAATCAGTTAAGTTTATACTTACCATTAATTTTATTTCAAAAGCGTATGTGAATACTCTACCTATAATTAAACTAATGCGAAATGAATATCCTATTTGTTGTCACGTAAAAGCATTTCATTGATAAATCTATAAAACAAAAATAAAAATGTATTTCTAAATTGTTACAGCTCAGGAATAGAATGGATGTATTTACAATATACAAATAAATACCGTTTTTTTTTGGTTTGCCCGCCGGCTGGAGGAATAAAAATCATCGCGAAGACACCCAGTGTTCCGAACCCTGGGTAGTGTTGAATTCTTACCAACTAAAAAACCCCCTTTTTTGTACTACGAGTTTTCGCGAGTTATCCTTTAAAACTTGTAGTCCTCTCTAAGAATTTGTCAGCTCCGGCATCCGTATGCCATAGCATCGCATTCTCTCCATGCTAGCTGCTTGCTAGCATGGGCATCTTATTAAATAAATACCCTGAAAACTTTTGCTTGGGGTTTTCAGGCTCTATGATGTAAGATTGTTGGCGCAAGCAGCGTAACTTTACGGACACATTTCAAAATATTTGCCAAAAAATCGAGTAATAAGTCAGAGTTTTAAAAAATTTAAATTGAATTACCAGCTGAGGACATATTTAAAAAGTGAAAACATGAGACAAAAGTGTGAAACATTAAATACAAAGCACGCTGGGTTTAAACGTCCTCTGACTTGTCTAAGTTGACGGGTTTTTGAGTTACACCGAATTTCCTTGTCTTCAAAAAACAATGGGGTGGGAATATTTAATTTAAACACGCACTGTAAAACCGAAATATTATATTCATATTATATTTCATATTTAGTTTTCCAACTTTGAAAATCTTAAATTATGAAAAAATGGATCAATTGTCTATAGGATAAAAACTGTACTCTGGGATAAAAAGAAAACTCACTACTATTATTGGTAAATACTATTTCCTCTGGCTCATCAAATAATAAATGATGCTCTTGCTGAAGATGCTGCACCAAATGTTCATTTTTCTGGTACGAGTTATTGCAGTTTGATTCTAAACATTTATAGTTCCAAACTGACTTGTCATATGAAACTGTACTTCCATCTGAACCATGAACTACTCGGCAGTGCCGGTTTAAATTAGATTGCTTGAAAAATACTGATTCAAACAAAACACGTAACCCCCATTTTATTTCCGTAAAGTGAAATAAAATGAATAATTTGTGAAAAAATCTGCGGAAGACTGCACACTACGCAAACACCCATCGATTTGACGATTTACCGCGAACTGCCAAACCTGACTTAAGGCTAAGCTAGTTGTCTTCATCTATGAGGCTAAGTAACAGACAGGTAACAAGCTCTCTAGACCCCTGGGTCCTTAAAGGTACGRCAGAGTGGTGGATAAAGGTGGAAGGGTTCAACCAAAGAATTGATTGAAATGGTTRATTGGGTGGTGGAATGGAAGAGATGGTGGTGGTGTTTYGTACATTTTTTTCATTCATATATTTAGTTAGTTATAACGAAMTAAAAACTACGACTATTTTCAGGTGTGGGCTTCCTCGAAATGAGAACCTTCGAAATCTTTGGGTCAGGCSMATTGGTTGTGAGYACGTATTGGCAAAATCGGCAGTTTATAGTCCAAATGCAATATTTATTTGTACTAGCCATTTKGCTGRTGTGTGCTTCAATGGCAACGGTATTTTACTGCGGAATTGTCTTCCAACARAGGGCCTACCASGTATGTTTAAAAATTACTACCGTATAAATTGTTCACCCTACATACCACATATATTTCGAAGGTTTTAAAGATGAAGGTTCTCTGGAAGAAAATTTCTTCCGAGGAAGCTACAGATTGGCGAACGTGGCGACCCCAGAAAAAAATATTCCRGCTCAATCAGACACGACCTTCACCAAAACGAGTCCGATTGAGTCGGTTATTAAGCCTACAAAGGTATATCCTGGGAAAAGACGTTTGGTTCAACCAACTGAAAACATATGTAAGTAAATATACTTAATAAAATACGATAAATAAGGTCGTGAGATGTAAATTGAACAACAAATTTTTAGGCTCCGAATACGCTTTTCCCAGGGAGAGCAGCTCACTGGAAGTTAAGGATTTTTTTATTGAAAATAAATTGAAAGGTGCGTTTGTATTGATATGAA